AGAAAACCCCCCAAATAATGGATAGTTCCTTTCAGAAACTGCCAGTAACACCCCATTCTTCCCAGGATTTCAGAGCTCACAGTAGTGGCTGCATAGATGAGGCCATCACAAGCCAGAGACATCATCAGCACAGAACACTCTGCTATTTATTTAGACTCTGAAAAAAGATCCTTCTTGCTTATTTTCCTAAAATAATTAAAATGCATCACTTAAGTTCCGATTTGCCAAAAAAAAAAAAAAAAAGAAGGCGTGGGAGCATAAATGTTTTGGCTCTGAGCTGACAGTAAATATATCTTCATATCATGTTTTTATTTTACCATTTTTAATGCATCTATCCTCCTAGCCCCTTCTCTCCCTGTCTCCCCCCCCCATTCTCCCCCATTAATTCCTAAAGTGTTTGAAAGAGCCCTGGAGCTCACAGTATTCTCTCCCCTCTTTGCAGCGGGGGAGAGATGCATTGCTTCCCCCCCTTGCATGCCTGACAACGTGGTAGAAGCTTTACGGGCCTGCGGCGCCTGCGGGGGCACAGAGGGAGCGTGTGGCTACAGCCCCCCTCTCCGTGAAGCCGGAGGAGCCCAGGCCCCGGCGAGGGCGAGACCGGAGGTCCCCGCCGGTGCCCGCGGCTGGCGCAGAGCGGCTCACGGCACGGCTGCGCGTCGCCTGGGGCCTGGAGCCATGCTTACCCCGTGCCTGTGCCCGCATCGGCTCTGGTTTGGGGTTTTGCTGCTCTTGGTTATCGATGGGGTTTTAACCCGCAAAACAGGTCTTCCGGGCGTTACCCCAAATTCCTGCACTGCTGACACCAGGGGGGAGTTTCTTGGATGAAACTAGGGGAAAATATATATACATATATATAAATTTAAATCTTTCCCCTCTTTAAATCTGTTCCCCTCGAAAGCTAAGAAGCTCCTGTTATTTGCATGTTGTACAGAGAGTCCAGCTTGATATTAATTTAAGAAGGATAGCTCCAGCATTGCTGGTGATGTTCATTTGCAATTCCTACACACTGGCTATTATGTGCAGTGAACTAATCCTGCCTTGCCTTGGAAACAGAGCTTCCACTTAGCTCACTGCGCTCCTCAGATTTCCTTTATAAGGGAGCTGTTGTTTTGCTGGGATTTTATTATTATTAATAATATTACATAGAAAATTGAATGCTTCCAACTCTTCTGCACTTTTGGGCTCCTGCCGTGCTCCCCTTGCCGTAGGACATGGAAGCTGGGAGCACCCACTTTTGGTTCCTTCTCCCTGCTGCAGCTGCTGGGGGTGAGCACTAGACCACAGGCCGGTCCTCTCACACCCTGTATCGGTGTCCGGTCGTGAGGACCGTCGAGGTTTAATCGCATCCATCTGCTGGCATTTATTGGAAGAAAGAGCGATAGGGGCAGGCTACACGACAGGAAGAGCTGCTTCTCCTCTTAGGCAGCCACTAAGTCGATCGAACTTCAGCCAGGGATGTATCCAGCCGCTAAACTTAGGGTCCCGAAATCCTGATCCCTTTGAAACAAAGAGATCTTTTGCCTCTGGGACCCTTTGTAAGCCAAACTGCCCATTTCCCCCATGAAAGCAAACACAGAGCCCCATGCAAGTGTCCTCCACCCAGCCATCCGCGTTTTCCAAGAGCGCCAAGAGCTCCCGGAGGTGAGGAGCCACCCGTAGCTCCGGGCAGAGCCAGGCCGCGTTTCGTCCGGGCCCGAGAGCCCGGAGCTTCTGCCTTTCGCTCCTGAGAAGCGTTTAAAGCGTTTATTGGCATTATGGCAATACAGTGCACGGTCAGAAACAATGCAAGAAGTTACAGGCTCGGCCACCGCAGCCTTCCCCGACAAACCAAGGGAAGAAGCCTGAGATCTGCACTAAGGTACCCAAGGGATTAAATAGTGTTTGCAATTTTAGTGGGGTTTGGTTTACGTCATCCCCCTTCTCTCACTTTGACCTCCCTCCCCCCATCCGATCCCCTACCCCGGGGCAAATCTTGTTCCCTGTGATTGTGCGGCAGTTACCGAGGTGCCTGGTTTAACCTCGGATGACTGCCTGGGACATTTCGGGACCGATTACTCTGTAAAGTACTGTCTCTCGAGTCGCTTAGGATGAGGATTTCTCGCCGGCGGTTCGGAGCTGTCCGGTGACGCCTCTGCCCCTCGCCTGGGCTCTAACGCGTCTAGCAAACGCAGCCTCCCCTTCTCCAGAAGAGAATGATGGACTCGTGTTTACACTCCAGACAGCCACTAACTTCTCCGATCTCTTCCTCTAGACCCCCACTGCTCCCCACCGCACCCCCTACCCCACTCCCTACCCCCCGCCTTTTTTTCTTTTTTGGTTCTACTAACAAAACCTGGCATTTGATGCCAGCACTCTGTCCTGTTCTGCTTTTGCATCATGACCGCTCAGACCTCATTCATTACGGATCCTTCTCCTGGACAGTTCCCCACTTTGGATGTCAGGCGTTTCTCGTCACGTCACCTTCTTCCTCCACAGATACCTCATCAGGGAGAGGACACATCCCAGGCACAGCCGCAGGCAGCAAAGCCCGCCTCCCTCTCTCCCCCCCCCCCACCCCCACCCCCCCCCCCCCCCGCCCCTTGCTCCCTGCGACCGCCCTTCAGGCCCCAAGGCTTGCTTTTTCCAGGGCTCTAGAAATGCAGAAATATAGGAAAGCCTCTGCAGGACCGGCCGCTAACGCAGCTTCCCCGGTGCCCGAGCCAAGGGTACCTATTTAGCAGCGAATTTCCCCAAGTATGACACGACTGACACAGGCACCCTTTCTGACCGGGGTGTTCATATCAGTCCCTGCCAAAATACTTGCAATGCTGGAGAGCGGTGCTACTGAGATAGGGAACTGTGTCTGAAGGTAAGTTAGGAAATATTAAACGACTGCTTGGTGGAGGGTGGGAAATGCAGACAGCTTTGCAGGAGCTCCTAACCAAGCCCCAGTAGATCCCCATTTTTCTGAGAAAAAAGGTAGAGGTATGAGGGCATCTGTTTAACCCTCTTATTAATCTTTTTGAAAGCAGGAAATGAGATATAATCTTTAGGTGCTGACTTGTGACTTTCACTGTTGGTAGTTTTTGCAGTACCGGCTACTACAAGGTGTGCATGTGGCCCAAAAAAAAATAAAACAAAAACAAAGAAAAAAAAAGCCCCATACACACACACAAACAAACAAACAAAAAAAAACAAACACAAACAAACAAAAAAAAAACCAACACCCAAAACACACACACACAAAAAGAAATGCAGGCCCAAACTCCCGTGACTCCCGTGAGTCACAATGTTTAATAACTAACTAGGTTCAACTCTGCATGTCTACGTGTGTTTGTATTCCCATTGTCAGGGAATAAGGGTGTATGTTCTTCATATGTTAGGTTTGCAATTTCGTGTTGATTTCGACATTCCCTAACGACCCATCCCACAGAGGCGTCTAAAAGCACCTACAGATTATCTCCCATCTCTCTAATGTGACACACCTACCTACATTTTAGGGGTACATCATTTGAGACATATTTACAGTTCAACCCTCTCAGCAGACAGGAGGAGAGATCTGCGTGGAATTTAAAATCAAGAATGTAATTCTTTCTCAAACAAATAATCTGCTCCCTTTCAAATATAATTAATGTTTTGATAGTTCATTTCTTGTGAGAGAGAGATACAAAAACAGAGGCAACCTCTTGCGTCTCTGTTTGTATATTTGCAGCAGGAATTTACAGTACCTATCTCGTGAATGTGACAGATAGAGTGTTCTAAACATTTAGAAGTTTATTTATTAGCAGAACTACATCAAGAAACTGACAGGGCTTTACCCTCCACTGTGCCCATTTTCCGCAGGTTTTTGTTGCAGAGGAAATTGCGGTTTCAGGAGGAGGACATTAGCCTTTTATTGGGATGAGAACTGTTTCCTAGCTCCCAGGATGCAGCCTCCTGTCCTGTTGTGCTTGGGAGGCACATGTTCTTGCGCTTTGTCTTTCATTCTCCTCTATCTTCCCTCCGTGGGCCTGAGCCTAGACCCTTTTTTTTCCCCCTCAGGGAGTTCAGGAAAACAGTGGGAACAACATTTAGGTTTTGACAGTCTTCAGCGTTCAGACTGATCCGAGCAAAGATGTGTTTCAAGGCATATAGTCTGAACAAAGCCATGTTTGAAAATGCCCGGAACGTTTGTCAGATGCTTGTTAAATACTGTTATATGATCGGGTGGCTCATTAGTTATAGATACACTACCAACTCCAGCAGGGCTGAGTTACCTTTTTTCCCTTTTTCCCTGCTTTCTTCCTCTCTTTTCTTTGTCTCCCTCTTTTCCTTCTACCACCGATTTCACAGGAAAGTACTCAAAGGCAGTCCTGCTGCGCTCAGGGACGAGAAACACAGTTATTAATTCTCAATGTCTACATCGTTTCTACAGCACAACACAAAATTGTTTTCGTGGAAAAAAAAAAACAAAAACCGAACTTTGTCTTAAATCCAAATACTAAAATGCTAAAACGCTGGGGATTGGCTTGATACCAAAACCATCCGGCTACACTTACCCAGCTCACGAATGGTCAGATTCGACTTCCACCAGTACCAAAAGCAAATTTCCCACTTGCATCATTGGAGACTGCATTGGGATCCCTTTATGTCTACAGCCAAGCAATACATTTTGGTATGCCGTTTACTTTCCATTGCCACACTATTTTTCAAGAGTGAAAAATTTTTAAAAGCTTTAGTTTCCAGCTGGGGTTGCTTAGCTTTGCTCAAACCGGTGTTCTCAAAGAAAGGGAGGACGCATCTGAAAATGACTTTTCACGAGAGAGAACCAGACCTGTGGTCAGTCAGTAAGTCTTTAGCAACAATAAACATTAGTAATATGCGCCATTACTAACTTTAAAAAATAATTAGTGGACTTAAGAGAGTGGAGGTTGAATTTGCATTTTGAAAATGGTGCTCTGGTTGTAAAGGAAACAGTCCTGGCTAGTTGGATGGCAGGCTTTCTGAAATGAAAATTAAAAAAGGGGGGGGGGGCAAAAAAAAAACTAACCAAACAAACACAAACTCCAGAATGATCCTCCTGAATCTGTAGTCTTTAAATAAATTGATACAGACCTACAGAGAGTTGCCTTCCTGCACAGGAGTAAGAAAAGTTGGATTTGGACAATATGATACTGTAACCCCCTTTTAATACCATCATATGTGTTTTCTGGATCTACCTTTTCTAGAAACGCCTGAAATGTCTTGTAAACACCTGGGCACTATGACAGAGATAACCTTAGTTCAATGCAAAGTTACCAACCTCAGTCCTGAGATGCAATTAATTCGACGTTTGCCTCCAGTGATCTGTGAAGAAAAAAAAAAAGAAAAGAAAAAAAAAAGAAAAAACATAAGGGGGGGGGAGACACATAAAAGAAAAATATTTACAGCACTGATCTGATAATATCTAGGAAAATGTCAACCACACACTTTTAAACTCATGTATTTAAAAATGATAAAAAAATAATAGACAGAACTTCGGTACCTCTGGGATATGCAACTGGTCTGTCTTTCATCAAAGACTAACGTTAGGGACGATCGCACTTACGTTTAGAAAATATTGTTATTTTTCTTAATGGGGAAAATTGGACTCCCGCGACTTAGATCTATGGTTTTTAGAACTAGGATGGAAATTGGACTGACACCACTTTGCACTTTAACAATCGGATTTCGTCAGGGTACAAGTTGTTTGTTTAACCCGACAGCTCCGTGCACCCCGTCGCACGCTTTTACACACTCATTAAAACGATTATTCACGACCTGTCGAGTGTTTTCTCGTTCGTTCACGGGAAAGACTTAGCGCTCTGAGATTCAAGCGCATAGGGGCAACTATACCAAGGGCCGAGGGAAGAGATTACTTATCTCGGTGATCATCTGATGTGAGGCCACCTTATCTCTACAGGTTGTAAAGCAGCAGTTGCTGGAGGTAAAAGAGGGGGAATCCCACCTCACCCTCCCCGACAAAACAAAAGGCGGGAAGAAATTAAGAACGAAGAAGGGCTTGACACTTGCTCAGCACCTCCCGCCGGGTCCCAGTCTCGCTTCCCAGCCTGTAGTTCGGGCTCCCGCGGCGCCACTCTCCGGGCAGGGGGTGGCGGGACCTGCGCCCCGGCGGGGACTGGGGGGGCCGGGGGACTGCGGGACCGGCGGCCTTCTCCCCTGCACACGGGTATCACACCGCCCTACGCCAGCTATCCCGTCCTGAGCTCGCCCTCCGCCGCCGAGGTGCCTACGCCAGCAGAGGCGAGGCGGGGGAGACAAAATATTGATGAAGCCGAGCCCTCCCGGAAACGTCCACAGAAGAAAATGCCGGGTCGAAGAGGGAGAGAGAAAATATATGTACATATAAAAAAAAAAGCGTGTTAAAAAATGCATCAAAATGTTCAGCGGTCCTGGGAGGGGAAATCTTCTAACCAAACCGCTTAGCAGAAGGGCTGGGGTGATTTGTTTTGAACCGATTAAGTCACTAACCAAAAAAGCAACTTGTGCCTTGGAGTACTTTGGTATTTGAATGCCGATCCTTCTTTTCTGTTGTTGTTGTTTGTTTTTTTTAATATATCGATTCCTGCTTTCTGTACTTAGATTACCCCTGATTCTTAAATTCCATCTATGAGGAACCCCCAGGGGCCTTGCTACTGCTGGGAAGGTGTTTTACACTTACAGAGGAAGCCAAGGGCCCAGAAGACGAAGCACACATCGACTCCAGTTCAGCCTTTGCAGATCCAGAAAATCATTTTTCATTTGGAAGAGATCTAAACAGAATGCCCCTTTATTTAAAAGAAGCGACCCCAAATGCATCAAGGGTTTTAATCTGAAACGGTTTCTTAATTGCTGCAAAGGCAAGCACGTATAAGTAATTTGTTAAACTTATTGGATTGCAATAATCCACTATCAGGTTAGCTAAGAATGGATCTGTCAAGTGTGTTTCCCAGCCTAAGTTCTTTCGTTCAAATCAATCTGGTTTAATAATTAGCAGACAAAGAACCCGAAATATGTAAGCAAATACCTGAAACTCTGCATAAATAAACATACTAATCAATAGCAAGCTACTCAACACTTGTCTTATTGATGAAGAGACAATCGATTTTGCTGTTCCAACCTGCAATCAGAGATCCGTATTTAATTATTAGCACTTTTACCTTTACTGATTTAATAATAAAAATAGAGCTAATAAGTCCTACCCTTCCACCTAAATGCAAATCATAGTGATGACATAACTAAAAGCAACTCACGCTTCCCAGAAAAACAAACAACTTTGCTAGAACAGAATAAACAAGCAAGCAAGGAAAGGAGTTGTAGTGCTGCCTTTGCTGATGAATGCTAGAGGACACTTTCACATTCAGAAAAGATAAGGCAGATATATACGTGCATACATACACACGTGTGTAGACACTTGTGTGTGTATAGCTGTAGAGATATAGCGGGAAAAGTTCATTGATAAAACAACAATGCGATTTTTATTTGCATAATTCTCATCCGTTTTCTCAAAGACCCATATGAGTGTGTGTGTGCACTACATGCTAATAAAAATACCCTTGCCGTTTTGTTCCACTGTGATTCTCGCCTCAAGATGCACCCGCTATCGGAAGTGTAGTTCAGAAACCCTAAAGGAAATTTACTTATCACTAGCATGTTTTTAAGTTACCTATGAGCCTGGGCATGATAAATATGTAAGTAGTTATATCATGCGCTTAAACACATCCCTTCATAGACTTCATAGTAATCTGTCCCAGCTTTGTTTCGTTCAGGGTCTTGTGAAAAGTCTCGTCCGAGCTGTCATCCTCATTTGGAAATACGCTGGTGTAGGGTTGCGAGTGTGTTTGGGTGTGCAAGGAGCATAAAAGGGGGGGAAACGCAAGTTCTAGCGTAGCATCACCCAGATTTTGCTTCAAAAGAACAGTCTGGTAACCGGTGAATATTACCCGTATTTAATTCGCAAAAGTTACAGCCTTTGGGGACATGCAGTGCTTCACAATGAGGTTTTAGTTATTTTTATGAGAATGCAAATATTTTTTCTTTCTCCTTTTTTTTTAAAACCTTTTTCAAGGCTGAGAAAGAACTACTGGGTTTTTTTTTACTCTGTAGCCAGATTTTAGCCAGATTTTTTGGCAGATACCTATCTCCTCTTGGATATGATCAATTTAACAGACTATCTAATATTAAATACTTGCGATCACATCATTTCTGGGTAGAAATAAGGGAAGGGGGCGGGGAGGGCAGAGAGGGGGCTACAAGATCTTTTCCTTCCGCTAACGAACGGAGCAGGACGAAGACCTAACCGAGAGGGCCTTCAAGGTAGCTCGGAGCTGGGCGAGGTCTCCCCTGCACCCGGGCGCTTCAGACCCAGTCCCTTGGCCTCCGAAGCGCCCCGAAGGGGAAGGGCTCCTTTCACGTGGGTCTACCACCTTGAAAAAGATGTCTCTGTGAAATCAATTGTGAAGAGGTCTGAATTCCCCACGGGCGGGAAAAATATATATAAACCCAGGAGAGCCCGGGCTTCGTGCCGCCTTTGTAGCTCGGAATTCAGGCTCCCCGGCCAGGCTGCTCCGGGCGAGGAGAGCTTTCACCTCTCGTCTCAGGTTAAGCAGTTCTTTACAGCTAACTTTACAAGGATGCTTTACTCACCTTAGGATAAGGTGACAATGGCAGGCTTTTCTCAGACTGCCTCTCTTTTATTCTTTCCTCTCAAATCACGGATAACCCCAAATACACTCGGAGGACTCCCTAGAGATAATTATTTGAAACGGACTTTGCATTCATTTCCCCGATTGAGAATAGTAAATCCTCTCTGTGTAAGTCTAATTCGCTGGCCTGATACTGTATTCTGTTACACGGTATTAAGAAGCTGGGGGGAGGATGGGAGGGGGGATGGGTGGGGGTGGAAAGCTGCTGGTAGTTGCTTTGGTTACCTGCTTATTTTGGCGGTTTGATTTATATCCTTTGGTTTTGTTTTTTCAGATTTTCGCTGGGTTGATTTGCCCCAGCGGAGTAGGGAGTAAAGGAGGATGGGTTTTCTATACCACTCCTGGACAGGAGCACCCTGCACTAATTCCCAGGAAGAGGACTTCCAACGCTCTCCCCTGAGGCAGCGCGCGTCTCTTGGCGGCTACCAGGATGCGAAGACGGCACGGAGAGGAACACTCCTTTCTGAAGGAAAGGGCAGAGGCACTGCCCCGAGCCCTCCAAATACAGGCCTCGGTGTTAGGCCGGCAGGGCTTGCCGGGGCGCTGACGAGGCCCCGGGAAGCGCCGACTTTCGTCCGGCTGCAGGACCCCGCGGATCGGTCATGGCCCCGCTCTCCCGCTAGGCAAGAGCGCCCCCAGCCCGCGGCGCGAGAACCACCGCCGCTCCCTCCGCCCGCCCGGCCCTCGCCTCGCCCCGCGGACACGCGTGGCCGGGCACGGCGGCTTCGCGCGGGTCCTGCAGCCCCGGTCCTTTCACGCAGGTGTGGGCACCGGTCCCGGCAGCGCAGGGCGGGTGGACCACCCCCAGCGGGACCCACCCACGGGGCATCCCCGGCCCTGTGTGGGCCGGGCGGGCAGCAGCACGGCGGCGGGGCTGTCAGGGATTGATGCCGGCGTGTGCTGTGCGCGTGTGAACTCGCGCTTCCCTCGCACCCGCGCCGTTCCCTGCGGCGCAATGGGGACAGCCGCTCGGTACCGCGGCACCCTGTGCTGAGGTGCCTAAGCTCCCAGCACCACGGAAAACTTAATGCTCGGTGTATTAAAAATTGAAGTGTTTTCCTGAGGTTACACATGGCAGGAGCGAGGGAGTTCAGGACATCGGCCTGTGGGACACGATCCTTCACGCATTCCCTTCTCCACGTCGGGACAACAGGACATGAGCGGGCCGGTCCACGGCAGGCCCCGTCCCGGGGTCCTGCCCAATCCCCCGCCCCCCTGCTCCCTCCCCCCTGCAGCATAGTCACTCTGAACAAACCAGTGCTATAAACCTCCGCCCCTATCCCGAGATTTCGGTTTAAGCACGTAAATCTCAACACGCACAGGACGTAGTCACGGAATCTGGGGAGTGGGGAGAAAAAGAGAGTGCCTGGAGCTTGCCGGTGGAAGGGAGCTTTGCCCGTGGTCTGTTATAAAGGCGCATTTGCTCTGCTGAAGCACTCAGAACAAAACCCAGATCAGTTTTAGACGTACGGCTCTTTACAAGCTCTCTCTACTTAGTCTTGCAGAATTTTTGGCTTTTAGCCGCTTTCCTGAGACTTTAGGAATATAAGCACTCTTTACACAACCCCCAAAAGATTAGAGAAGCCCGCAGCTTTTTCTCAAGCGACAGGCTCAGATTTTTGAGAAATAACTCATTAAGGAATCCGCCAATACTCGCCATACTAAAACCGTCTTTCATACAGAGATGGAACAAGGAGCAAATTTTATCCAGGAAAGCGGGATGGCGTGGAATTTAGCACTAAGCCACATAATATTTCTACGCCAAACAGTGACCTAAAAGGCAGGGCACCCTCAGGGACCTGCGGGTACAGCGCTTTCTTCCGCCCTGTTACCAGAGGACACGGATCACGAGTATAGCTATTTGACTCCTGGGTGTAAAAGAGGAGTAAAATCCGCACTCACCCTGCTCCGGCGGAGGACTCCCATCCCCAGGTGTCATCGTGCGCCTTTCTTGCAGGTACAGGCAGTTTCTCCTGGCATCTTAAAAAAAAAGGCAAACACAACATTGCACCCGTGTGACTTTCTCTGGCGTTTGTGGCAAGCAAGCAAAGAGCACGTTAACAAAACAGACTAAAAAATCTACAGATGAACCATGAGAACCGCTTAAACCGGCAAAGAAACTTCCAACTTACCGACTGAAACGAAAGAGCCCGAGGGGGAGGGGGAGGCCGGGGGAGGAAACACTTTGAGGAAGAGACCCCCCAAAAACATAAATACAAGGAGTTTAAAAAAAAAAAACAAACAAAAAAAAGAATCCTAACATTAGGCACACGCAGTTTTTGTGTAACTGGTGCTTTGAAACTGTGCTTCGATTGCATGGGCGATCTGCTTATCGGGGGGCACGGGGGGAAACAGTGCGTTCAGACAGAAGTCTGTCGTCTCTGCTCATATCACATGGATCTGCCTGCTAGGAGAAGAGATAGAGAAGGTTTCCTTGAAGTGCACCTACCCTTCTGGCGGGAAGGCTTGATGGGATTGCTGGGCAGGTTTCTTCTGGAGGGTCCCATCTCTCTGGAGTAGCTGCAGTGGAGTTGAGGGCAGGTTCTCCGGTGAGGTAGGAATGTGCAGGAACTCCGCCCTCTGGGCACAGTCACACAAACCCAGCAAAACAGCCACAGCCAGCCCTAAAACCTCTAATGATCTTCACCTTCACCTCTTTCTAACCCAGATTTCCACCACTTTTCCATCCGTTTCCCCAGGCATCTTCACCACGGGGCCGGGGGGGTGGGGTGGGGGGTTGGGGAGAGATTTCAAAACAGGAACTCAGTGCACAAAACTGCAGAGAACCTGCTATAGACACTAGCGCATGGACAGACACCTCTGCAGGGTTGTGTGCGCGTCTATCTGTCTGTATACATACTTATTGCCATTAGTTGAATTTGTAGTCACGTAATACGTATGCGCATATACTTTCGTGCTTGTGCGGGTGTATTATTCACGCTTACACCACGAAGTACAGAGCAGTGACTATCTACAGGCAGACTTCTTTTTTTCTTTTTTTTAATTGCCCTTTTCCCCCATCCTAAGCAAAAATGCGAACAATTAAAGAATATAGTCACTAATAAAACAGTTAGTCAAGCTTAATGTCCTTTCTTAAGCAAAACTCTGATGTGGTTCAGTCAAAACGTAACCGAAGTGTAGTGGGAGCTTTGCTTGAGTGAACAGTGAATTCGTAGGGATTGAGACCTCACATTAATACAAGTGGGGGTGTGCACTTGAATCATAATTTCTGACATAAATCTTAACAGTCACCATCAGAAGTTATAAAGAGCAAAATGACGTCCCAGTTAATTTTTTTTTTTTGTAAGTGCCTGTTTAAAAATTATCATTCCCCCAAACTGTAGTTTTGTGCCATTTAAGGCAAAATATATTATTATTCACTTTCTCTTACACTTTTTTGTAAGAATACATTCTACGTAACCGATACTATTTTATAGAAACAAAAGAAAAATATTTTAAATATGTCAAAAGCTGATTGGTCCAATATCGCACTGTGGATTCGAGTTACAGTTTTTTATCCCTCAAACACGTTTGCAGAAGCAATCTTAAAATCGTAATTGGAGGTTTCTTGATGAGCAGATTTCTTCTCCTGCGATCTATGCGAGCAAATTTAATCACCTCAAACATCAACTAGGAATATAACAATAGCTCCTTAATTCCATAAAGACCACCTGTCCCCCATAAACACTCTAAATTAGGAAATGCTAAAGAAATGAGGATAAGACACCTCAACATTCTAGGAATGTGCATGCTTAAATAAATAAATAAATAAATAAATCCTAAAAGCTTAGCCTGAGGATTTGCCATGCAAACCACAAAGAAAAAAAGTATTAGATATCAGAATTATTGTCTGATTAAAAAAAAAAAAAGAAAGAAAGAAAAAGAAGATAAAGAATGACACATACACACAAACCCCACCAAACTCCAACACCTCACATTCAGTACAGAAAGAGCCTGCACAAAGATTAGCCTAAAAGACGTCCTCAGCGAACAGAAGGGCTTCTCTGTCTGGGAAGCAGGCAAAGGTAAAGGCATATTTGGGGCCTTGGCAGTCCTGCTACAATCCATGGGAGTTTACATGTTTGTTTTTTTTTTGTTGGGTTTGGATTTTGTTTTCTTTTTTTTTTTTTTTTTGGTGGTTTTTTTTTTTTTTTAGTGTTTTTTTTTTCCTTTACAAAGCCAGTCTCATTGCTGGTAGTATGTATATGGAAACGTGAATAAATTCTCAGCCCAACACCCAGCCCTTCCCCCAGTGAAAGAGAAAGAGGGAAAAGTCTGTAGCACCTGAACTGCTTAGGCAGCACTTTACTACAGTGAACCTAAAGGAGGAGAGCATTGAGAGCGTGCCGAGCATTGCTTAAACGAAGTCTGGAGAGACGTACATCAGGAATTTTTTATATAATTTTTAGGAATTATAATGCATCACTCTTATCTAATTAATGCTTGTTAGCCAACCCCAATCTCTGACATGGTGAGATTGTGCTTTCCTCCAAACTGACTTCTCTTTTTCCTCCTTTTAGTACACTGACAGTGGATTTTTTTGCATTGCCAACTAATACTTTCAGTATGCGCTAATGGATTTCCTACGGTATGCAGCCAATTGAGAGTGGTAAATAATAAATCATTTCCTTTGTCAGATGCAGCAGATGCCATTCTTTCAATTTGCTTAGGCACAAATATACAGAATGGGGTCTCGAGGCTTAGAGAGTTTAAATCACACCTATTTAATTTCATTAATTCTGATAGGTTTGTTGTAAAGGTGTTTTGGGATTCTTTTTTTTTTCCCTGTAACTTCTTTTAATGACAATGGAGTGAAGAATATGGGGGACAGTAGGCGCTTCCAAGTGGTGGTATCATCTCTTTATGCCCAAACAAAGCAACCTTTTTTCTCATAGTGATGATTAATTTTGAATTGCAGAAGTGAGAGTGAAAGCCAAGAATATCAGAGATTTCTCTCCTTCTCCCCCACACAGAGCAGAGCTGGGTGTCCCATCTCTCATCCATAACCTTTCACTCCCCTGTCCTTCCTGCAGATCTGCTTGCATCTGTTTATATATTACTTATTTTCAGAAGATTTCGCCTCCCTCCCCTCATTCTTTCAGCATGACAAATATTCTGCTTGCAAGAATTCAAATTTGCTATTGCTTTTTAATTCACACCCCAGCATTTCTAGCCCCCCCCCCCCCCCCCCCCGCCTCTTTTACTTCCTCTTGTCTGTCTAAGATCAGCTTTTTAAAGTGTTTGTGATAACATCTCCGACTGAGAGATTATTTTTCATCGGGCCTATTGTGAGCGGTGCCCGGTTTATTGCACATCTGCGGAGCCCCGTTCAGACTACACAAACGTAACAAATGAACAACTTGTCCTCTGCGGACTCACCGCGGGATCCAATTAGTTCCTAAACCTTTTGCAAAACTTTTCTAATTATTTTCAAGAGTTGCGGCTTTTATAGGCTTCCGTAAACTCATCAAGAAACCAATTCTTTTTTTTCGGATTAAATGCTTCTTAAAATTAGTGCTAGTGTAGCCCCCTTAAATCTAATGGGTCAGTTCTCCAGGCAGCGGAGAGTGGGGTAGTGGGCTACGGTGAGCATTGCCGCCGGCAACCTGATAGCGAAAAAGAGCTCCTTTTCAAAACTTTACATTAAGTTAAACATAGGTTTGGGATTGATTTGGGTCCTCCCCCCCCACCCCCCCCCCACCCCCCTCCCACAGCGTTTAAACATCGGTATGCAAGCCCAGAGTCACGTGACATATCCATCCCCCCCCCCCCCCCCCCCCCCCGCTGCCTCCCCGCAATGTACCGCAGCTTCACTCCCCCCACCTCCCCTACCTCCTTCCCCGTCCGGAGGGTGAGTGGGACAGGAGAGAAGGCTTCCAGCTCAAAAACTACCCCTGCTTTCGCAACATCAAAGCCAAAGTGTTTGCAGCATTAAAAGTCTATGCATACATATAGGATAGATACTTCCGGAAGAGTGTTCCTTTAAAATAAGGACTGTATTTTATACACAGACGTACCATAGCTTTCTAAATTTGATCAACTGATTCTATGAGAGCTAATATGTATATGTATATATATACACACATACACGGTCCTCTTTAATAGATCTCCAGTTATCATAGAGTCGAAATTGATATCTTTCAGCAAAATAATTCTTTGAATGCATTTCAGAGATTGCAAGAACAACACGTATCTATGTAATCATGCAATCATGCAAAAATACCTTTTTTCTATGGCGTGCACAAATTAATTTTTAAATGTATGTATATATAGTTACATATATACGTACACGATTTTGAGCATCTTCAAACTAAAGCAGAGGTTTTAGTAAGACATCCTACCTCGCACTAACAATTTTTAAGAGGACTTGATAAGAGTTCTGCCCCAAAACGGAGGCCGTAGTGTTTAGCTAAATACCCTGATCCCTTATATTTGAATATACTGCTGTTAAAGACAGTATGATGGGGAAAGGGAGGAAAAAAGCGGGGGGGGGGGGAGAAAGGAGCATGTAAAAAATGGTGGACTGCTGTAATACGCAGTGCTCTGATCTCCCTGTAACTTTAAAGCCTCTGGCATTTTAATTTTAGTTAATAAAAGAGACAAAAACCCTATCAAGTATATATGAATTTAGCCTATTTTTTTATTTCTGTGTGTTCATAGTAAACATTTTTGTAAGTGACAAACACGGGCATATGACCACAGTATCACAATCAAGAAATTTTAAGACGACGTTAACAATCACTCAAATTTATGCGGCATTTGCGCAACACAGGTTACATATTTGCAAGGTTTACCTATAAGTACAATAGGTATTAACATTTCACTACATTTAGAAAAAAAATAAAGGTGACCTGTTAGTGACCACATACATCAAAATATACACAACACAAACTGAAGGCAATCATTAATTTTGTCCCCTTCTGATTCATTTGAACGGGCAGTGCTGCAAACTGAAATAATGTTGCTGTTTTTTAAATTACTTCGTACACTGAGTGCATTTTGTAAAACCCAATCTTTGGTCTAAAAGTAAACAAACAAACGAACAAACAAAAAAAAAAAAAGAAACCCCAAAAAAGCAGTTCAGTAAAGAAAAGGCTAAAATAAGAAATGGCCAAAATGTAGTTCTCAGGCATCTTTCAGGATTAATTCTGCTTAAATACAAATTGCGTTTTAAGTTTTCTATAGTTTTCTTTAATTAAATGGTGGTTTGTGGTTTTGGTTGGGTTTTTTTTTTTTTCTTTTTTTTCCTCTCAAGGTCTGCACCCACCGACATATCCATGATAACTTATAATACTGCAAACATGGAGAATCTGGCGGCTTTTACTGATAGACTTATCGTATTTGAATAAAAAAATTGCAAAAGCAGTCACTATTTAGATACACATTCTACTATAATTTTGTCTTCCAAACTTCATAGTCTACAATGTAATCTCCCCACATTGCACCTTGCTGACACTCCTCACCTTGGTGGAATAATAAACAACCCTAAAGACTGAACAAACGTACAGAAAATGGGGGACTTAATAAAAAATACCTGGACTTTTTTGTTTTGCTTTTTTTTTTCTTTTCTTCTTTTTAATTATCATTTACAATGCAAATGTGTGTAAAATGTTCACTTACAGTCTGATCCCATGGATGTTAATGTATTAAAGGGTTTGAAGAAGACCCCTGATTTTGATGTGTGAAATAATCAGAAAGTCCTCCGGAAAGTCCTGTTGTAAAACTTGGCAAAGAAGGTCTTAAGGACTCACAGGGGAGAGTGGAGGGCGCCTGTGGCGACGTGGAGGAGGAGGCTGCCCTGGCCGTCATTGAAGTGCTGCTTTGAGAAGTCATTGAAGGGTGAGGAACATGGGGGAAAAAGTAACTCGTCTGTCCTGCTAGGAGGTTTACAGAGCAGGGGTTTAGGGAATAGGTGCCGGAGCAGGGAACTGACAAACCACATGGCACTGAGGCGGCCAGAGCTGCTGCTGTGAGGTGATGAGTGGCATAAGGTATCTCTCCATTGACTAGTCTATCAACACTTAACCCATTGGACGTGGAAAAGGAGTGGTTGTTCCCCAAGGAGTTTTGAGTCAACACTGAGCTGTAGGGCATAGGGTGGCTGGGGTAGGCGGAGGTGGTCCCGTTGTAACTCAAAGTGCTGCTGGCCCGGGGATGATGAAGGGAGAGGAAAGGGGACATAGGCCAGTACAAGGATCCTGCCCTGTCCATGAATGTCAGTCCGGTGGAGGTGAGTCTGGCACCCCGCTTGAAGGCCAGCTTGGCCCGCGAGGTGGTGGAGCGTCGGCGGAGCTTTCCGGTGGTGCCCCCAATGAAGACGTCGTCACTGGAGGGGTCCAGCATCCAGTAGTTCCCTTTGCCCGGGTCGTCGTAGTGCCGGGGCACCTTGACAAAGCACTTATTAAGGGAGAGGTTGTGGCGGATGGAGTTCTGCCAGCCCTGCTTGTTCTCCCGGTAGTAGGGGAAGTTCTTCATGATGAACTCATAGATGCCGTTGAGCGTGAGGCGCTTCTCGGGGCTCTGCCGGATGGCCATCATGATGAGAGCGTTGTAGCTGAACGGCGGCTTCTCGTACTTGCCGTTCTTCTTCTCCCCCTCCTTCCCGCTCTCCCCGTCCTTGGCCCCCTCCGCTGCCCCCTTCTTCTCCTCCGCTGCCTTCTCCTTCTCCTCCAGCTCGGCTGCCGCCGCCGCGCCCGCGTCGCCTTTGCCCGCCAGCATGTCCGCCTTAGCCACCTCCAGGGCGCCGGCGGCGGCGGCAGCGGGGGGCGGCAGGAGGAGCTGGCCCTTCTCCTCGTCCTCTTCCTCGGCCGCGGCTGCTCGCTGAGGCTGTTGCGGCGGCGGCGGGTGGTGGTGGTGGTGATGGTGGTGGTGGTGGTGATGGGGATGGTGGCTGTTGTGGTGGCTGTGGCTGCTGTGGTTGTTGTCGCTCTGGACGGCTTCGGGCACCAGGCTGTTTATGCTAAAGGAGGATTTCGGCAGCATTTTCACTTCCTTCCTATCTCCCATGTCCAACATCACACACTAGTCTGAGGGGGAAAGTTGCAGCGGCCGAGGGAGCAGCCCGCGGAGCGGCGGTGGCCGAGGTGGCGGCGGCAGCAGCAGCGGTGGCAGCGGTACCACCGGCGGCGGCGGTAGCGCAGTTGGACCGCAGTCTCAAGCGCTGGCAAGTCATGTAGCAAGGACAGGAACCGCCGGAGAGGGAAAAAAATAATAGTAACAATAATAGTCACCAATCAGATAAAATTAAACCGAGTCAGAGCGGAGGAAAACAAAAAAAAAAAAAAAAAAGGAGAAAAAGGAAAAAAAAAAACACAACCCTCTGGAAACCCAACAAAAAAAAAAACAAACAAAAAAAAAACCAACAAAAAAAAAACCGCACAAACATACACAAGAAAAAAAAAAAAGCTACTTCATGGTGCCGGTTCCCCCGGCACGGCGGAGCAGGGGGGAGGACGGAGCAGCCGCAGCCGCGGGTCGGCGAGGAGCGAGCGGAGCCGGGCGGTACGGACCGCCGGGGCCGCAATTAATTTCAGAGCTGCCGACACGCACCGCCGCTGTAAAACATTTTTTGGTTTAACCTTTCCCACCGGCCGCCCAATCAGGGCCGGCGGCGTGCCCGCGCGTCGGCCCGCCCGCCGGCCAATGGCGGATCGCCGCCCCGCCCTCCGCCTGCCGCAGGCCCGGCCCCCGCCGCAGCCGCCGCCGCCGCCGCCGCCGCGGCTCCCGCGGCGCAGGGATACCGGCGCAGGGGCGCATCACCAAGGCGATTTGTGGGCACCCACCCCACCTTCTGCCCCCTCCAACCTCCCGCCGCCCAACACAAATCCCCTCACGCCAAACAAACAGCGCCTGTCCCAAGACTGCGGCCCCAACCGGGTTTTCGTACTTCCTAGTTTCTCCGGTGGACTAAAGCTGCCCCGTCGCTCTCTGTCCCCTCCTCTGGCGGCGGAGGAGGAGGACTGGGAGGCCGAGTGGGAGAGGAGGCTGCGGCGCACCGGGGGCGGAGGTACTACTTTGCGGATCCCCCCGAAGTCACTCAGCAAATTTATTTTTTTCTAGACCCCTGTTATTTGTTGTTTTACCAAGAGAAAAAAAAAAAAAGAAAAGAAAAAAATAATAATCAGCTGGAGGGTCCGCGGGCGGTGCGGCCGCCCTGCAGCCGACATTGGCCGGGGATCCGGCTGTGGCCCGGCCGGGACGGAGGCCGCGGCCTGCCGGGGAAGACGGCGTCCCGCAGCACGTCATGTGAGGTGGGAAGGCAGGGCAGCGGGAGAGCCCTCTCCGCTCTCCTCCTCTCCGCGCTCTCCCCGTATCCCCGGCTGGCGGGCGCAGCACCAGGCCAGTGGCGGAGCTGGACTTGGGGCTTCGCGCTTAGCCCCCGACTCCCCGTCCACAGCCGGCGCGGCGGCGGGTCATCCCGTGTCCGCCTTGGCGCTGCCGGTTCACTCCAGCCAGGAAACCGCAGGCCGTGTGTCAGGTGTAAAAAATAAATACTACTACTAATAACCCAGGATATATATATTACGGTTTTTTTTCCGCTCCCCCAGGCCCGGCCAGCGGTGTCCGGACATGGGGGTTTGGTGTAGTATCGCTGGGGGATGGGGGGTGTCTGGTGTCGTGTCGCTGGGGGACGGGGGGTGTCTGGTGTCCGCTACTCGGCTGCTGGAAGGGCAAAAGAACCGGGCTGGCACCGCTGCTTTCTGCCTGCTTCCCTCACAGAGAGTCGGGCTCGGGGCTGCGGAGTCCTTGGGCCCAGGGGCTGAGGTTCGCCGGCCTCACCCCTTCGGGCCTCACTGTGAGCGTGAGAAGGAAAAAAAAATCAGCCCTGAAACAAAGCGAAATAAACCGCGGAGCTTTCTCTCTCGGGAGGTAGAAGGGGAAACGTACTGGATGGAGAGCGTGCTGATCGCGCTGGAACCGAAGCAGAACGTACAGAGCCGCGCTCAGTGCCCGAAAGTTAACTTTCGTGCTGTAGGAAAAGATAATCCGTAGAAATAATAGGTGCACCTCAACCCCAGCTGAAACAATCTGTCCCGGGAAAATTCAGGTTAGAGCTCTCTGCAGCAAAAGCAGTTGTGTGTGGATGTGCGTTTTGTGTGTGTGGATGCATGTGTGTGAGGGAGAGAGAGAGTGTGTAAGAAAGAGTAAATAAGGAGAACAATTACAATGGGCCGGTAATAAACAATTGCAATTGGGAATGGCATGAACTCTGTACATTGGATTAACCTCGAATGACCTTACCACAATTGTATTTATTTATCTAATTTCATGACAGGTTGCTACTGAAAAAAAAAAAAAAAAAAGAGATAAAAGTCAATGATCAACCGCGCTGATTTTTTACTTTTTTTATCTCCTTTTTTTTTTTTAGAAATGCAGTTAAAAAAAAAAATCACGTCAATTTGTAATTATTTTATTGCTTAACACTGAAGTCAATGCATGAGAATTCTCAAAAAAGAGTGCAGTGTGGAGGATTTGAGTCGATCATGGCAAAGGGTAAGAGGAAAGGTAAGATTCCTGCATATTATTATGATTATGATGATCATTAACTAATATGTGTCATTATGGTGCACTAGGATCCCCATTAGGGTGGCTGGGCCCAATGCATTTTCCTACTCGGTCTAGCATGTAATGATTCGGTGTAACCGGATTCTTGAGAAAGGACAGGTTACGTAAACATTTACTGATGTGGAGTAACTATACTATTTGTACTCTGATATGCAGGAAGGAAAGTGTTGATTAACACAGAAGAAAAAAAAAAGCAAAATTAGCTGATTGCATGCTCATAAGTGCAAGCTGTCATTGAACTGCTTTTAAAATAGACACAGCTGGGTGTTTGTGTTGAAAAATTTCTTGTGTTTTTGCTAATACTGAAATAAGCATGATTTTGTATACCAAACATTTTCAGATCATTAAAATTTGTAATCTGTGCTGGTTTTAAACACAAAGAAAAGAAACAGATTCATTTCGCTGTAAAATTTGCTGATATTATATTAACTCAATCAGGTCTGTACAAATGGTGTATTGTGCCTTATCAAATCTCTTTGATCCATTTAATACACAAAGTGCCAAACGTGTGTATTGTTTGTTAACATTGAGCGTTTTATTCAAATCCCAGCTCTGCAGTGAGATGGAGGAGTTCTCGTTTAATGTAACACTGACATTGTCTGTTGAAATTTTAATGCGTTGAGGTGTTTCTTAGGTCAAAGCGGAGTTTACTTTGCTCTGTGATGAGGGATGAAAATGCAGCAGGGAAGAAAATGAACCTTTTATCCTTTCGCATTTCTGAGCAAAGGGCTAGCACTGAAAGAAGCAAGTTTTTAGAATGTTTGAGGATCTAGATTTAACATGCAGTCATTTGTCACGGATGCAGAATACTGTGCACAAACTTAGGATTTTTTTCTTTTTTAATGCCGTGGATATACAGTTCTACCAAAGAAGGAAATGTTGTGTCCAATATGTAGTGTATATCTCTAAGCCTATGAAGATTAATTCTCTGTTTACAGGACAGAGAAGGATATGTGAGGGAAGCCAATTCAATTATTAGTTCTGATGGACTTTAGAGTCGCTCTTCCTTTTTTTTTTACTTTTTTTTTTTTCCCCTCTCCCGCAGAGAATTTTCCTTGTGTAAAACTGGAGGTTTACTTTTTACTTGGAAAGGCAGGAGTCCGGCCCTAATACCAGCTCTTCCTTGAGCTCTGCCCTGGCCACGACACCCGCTCCCGTCCCTTCCGGTGGTGGCTTTGTGCATCGTGGAGCCCGGTTGGGCCCCCAGCTGTGGTTGCTGTCAGAAGGCCCCTCACGGCAGCCCTCCCCTACAGGGAAGGGTTCGTGGGATGTCTGAAGGAGCAGCGTGTGAGTGGAAAGGGAGCGCACGGCCCTAGCCCTGCGGAACACTAGTGGGTAGGCAGAGGGGACCCGGCGCTGCTCACAGGCAGCTGCTCACCTGCGCTCGCGCCTGCCTGGGGACCCGCCGCCCTGAGCGGAGGGGATGGGCAGAGAGCGTCCAGCTCCGGGGTCATGGTGGGGGTGAGTAGCTGGGCTGAAATGTCTTGAATGAAGTGGTCAGACAGGGATCTTCGTGCAGTTCTGGGGTATAACTCATAGAGATAGAATTTCAACCGCACATTTTTCTCCCTCGTATTTTTTTAATTATTATTATTTTAAATTAAAAGTCAGTGGAAAATCAGACTCTTTCTCCTGTAAGCTCAATGGACACAGCATGCCCCCCATCTTCCTCCAGCTCCAGCCTTCAATTCCCCTTCCCAGGGGTGTAGCGGCTCTGTACTCTCAGGTTCTTTCAAGGGGTTAAAATTTACTGACAGCTTAAGAAATGAATGAGTTTTTTTTCAGCCATGAAGAAAGGGTATTTAATAACCACGCTTCGATGGCATCATGCTTCCATTAAACTAGTCGGGACACTTCGGTTTAGCAGTCAGTAATATCACATTCGTAGAGTAAACGCCTGCATGTATGCATGTATAAGTCTATTCCCCGTTGACTCTAAGCCTACCTTAGTCAGTCCAGGTTACCTGGGGAATTAAGGTAAGGGCTATCCAGCAGACACTGATACCCTGCTGCCAAGGCACGGCGAATGGGGACTCAGCGGTGCGCGAACAAAGAGAAGGAGGTAGTCAAACATTCTGAAGAGGGGTGAATGGGACTGAAGGTGGGTGGATGAATGGAGGCAAAGAGGGAGAGGAAGAAGCATTCAGCGGTCCACCCTTCTAGTCGCATTTGTGGATCTAAGTTTAGATGTCCATCTATAGCCAACTTCCAATTAATCAGCAACAGCTGGTAGTGGTGCTAACGTTTGGTGATTAGAAGTTAGTCTATTTAGCATGCTGTATCTTTCTTCCTTGGGCTTTGGTTACAGGTTATACGATTAGGATTGCGAGAACAGTAGTGAACTAAACTTCCCAGTAAGAGGTCTTCACACCAGGGAAGTGTTACTTTGCTGCAGCAGCCCTGCCTCGTCAGTCATTAGGAAGCTGCAGGTTGTCAGAGACTTCTCTTGTGCGCACACACGCGCAGACACACACGCACACACATACAAACCACAGCACTAAAACTAAATTAAGAAGCCGATGATTAAGACAAGCGTCTACGAGGCCTGTCATTTCAGCATCCTTCCATCATAACATTGTGGCATCGAGAAATTTTCTTGAAAACCCTGGAAAAAATGTCTATGGGAGAGTCTCGTGTTCGAGATAGCATAAATGGTAACGTCAAATATAGACTGGGAACTGCCTCGATGCAAGATAATATTCCGCAGAGGAAAGGAGCACCGCTGAGACCTTTGGGCTACCTGCGCATTCCTGAAACTCTGGTGAGTTATCTCCCCTTTCTCTTGCAGCAGGCATTGTGCGACTGGAACCGGACCGGGTTTGAAATCCGCAGCTATGTTCCCTCCGGAGACTTCGGGGAACTCCCTCTAAAGATAGATCTGTAATGAAAAGTCTCTGCTGGATGACTAATGGTTATTGGCACTCTGTGCCCCTTTAAGGAGATCAGCACATATTGTGCCGAAGACCTTGAAAGCACCCTTTAAATACAAACATTTTATGTCCCCCTCCCATGTATCCCCACCCCTGTTGTTTTCGGGCTAGTTGTGTTGTATCCCACCACCACCACCACCACCACCACCTCCCCACTCCCCCCCCCCCCCCCCGCCTTTAAGCTCTCTAGTCTTCCCTCCTCCCACCCCCATTCAGAACTAATTGCTCAGTTGTTTAAATGTTTCAACAAGAGCTAAATTTCTCCGTCCGATGATCTTTTGAGAAGCTGCACTGTACCATAAAGAACAACCAGCGGGGCACTGTGTACCTTGGAGAAGCCTGCGCAGCTCGGGGAGAGGTAGCGTTAAAACAGTGGCATTAACCATCGAGGTGTAGAGAGTTCCCCTTCCGATGAACTTTCAGAAGTTTCTTGGACGGGCGGAGGTTGGGCAGAGAACGTGGAACCGGGAAACATGGCTGCGGGGACCAGAAAGCTTCGCTGGTGCCGTAAGGGAAAGGCAAGATAGAATAGTGGCAGAAAGGGATCCGAGTAAACACTGGAGTATACATCTCCCACGGCGGCTACGCTGGGTGGAGAGGTCTGAATTAAATCGCCTTAGTTAAAAGCTGGAGATTTTATTTATTTATTCCTGTAGCTGTGGAATACCATCCACAGAGAGCCTGTATCGAGCAGGCACCAGACTTGGCGTGTTCAGCTGCCACTGCCAGAATTTTTCAGAACAGAATATTTTTACACTCGCTGCCAACTTTAATGTTAAGACGTGTGGTTTCTTACATCCTAAATGTCACTATTATTTTATATGTCAGTCTGCATAAGAGAGCCATCACACCTGCCTAGGTAATAGGTGCCCCTGTGTAATAAAAGCTTTCCCTGATTCAGGAATCAAACCGAAAATTAAATATCCCTTAAGAATTATCCACAGAGTTATGCAGACGGAAATAATGAAATGCAGGGAGAAAATGGACAAGTTAAAAACCTTGGACTGTTCTCGAGGTTTAAATACGTAATTTTATATTCTTTGTGTTTACTGTTAAAATATTCTTGGGCAACACAGTGCTTTTTTCCGGAGTTATCACACTGAATTAAAGATTAGGGGAATAAAATACAGGGCAAGAAAAAGACCTGGAGAAGAAAAAACCAAAACAAACCCCACAAACCCAAATAGTGCTTGAAGAAGACTTGTAGCTGCTCTTTGACTCCTAAAAACTGTGGCTGGAATATTTTCATGGTGTTGTAGCTCTTTAGCCTCTTACAAACGTAATCTTTGGCAAATGACACATGTATCTGGTTTGCAGTTTTTCGGTAACTCGAGAGAAAAAGCTCCCACCTCCCATCCCTTCTATTTTGCCTTCTTCGGCACAGGGACCGGTGTACTCTCCTTGCCGGTGCTGTTTCACCCCAGCGCTCCGCAGAAGGGGGCGCCGGGGCTGCCCCCACATCCTACATACCTGCCCGCCGGGCGCTGCTCGCTCTGCTCCACCCTGCCGCTCCTCTTCCTCACTGTACCGCACTGCACCGCACCCCTTGACTTCCCGGGATCTCGGGCTCTCCAAGATTAACTGAGGATCCAATTTTTAGGGCCTGCAAAATCGGAACATCACTCTCTTACGGTTCCCCCCCCCCCCCCCCAACCATCCCGCCCAGGGGCCCCCTTGTAACCATAGCAAAATGCCCGGTATAGCACAAAAGCCATGAACAGCTCTACACCCTTCTGCAGCAGGCTCTCGGCCAGACGCTGGGCAAAGCCCGTTTGGGCTTTCTGGGTGCTTGGGGCTCAGGAGGGAGGAGGAGGTTCAGGGACTCGGTGCCGGGGCACGGCCCGTCAGCACAAGGCAGCGGTGGGACCCGCACTTGTGGTGCCGGGGTAAGGGATTTACTCTAGCTCCCAGGACGCTGCCCGGGAAGCAGATCAGACCTTGGGCGCTCCTTGGTCCCCTCGCATAAGCAGGGTTGGCGGGCGTTGCCTCTTTATGTAGGTTGTTCTGAGCACTTTTTATACAGGGCAGGGTGGTCTCCATGTTTTCTTTCTTTCTTTCTTTACCGTAGGGAGGAGGGAGTGATAGTAAAGGGCTTGTTGGATTATTATAACCGCTACCTCTTCTAAATAAGTTTCTTGGGGAAGAGCGGATATCGTACCCTTGATATCAGTGGGTGTGCTCTTGCATTATTTTAATATGATACGTCTTTTATACAGAGCTTGTTTTCCTCCTCCCTTCCTCCCTCCCTCCCTCCCTCCCTCCCTCTCTCCAGCTCCCCCCTCCTTTTCCTCCCCCCCCCCCCCCCTTTGTTTCGGGAATTTGTTTCTCTTTTAAAGCACCAGCACAAACAAACAAACATAAAAAAAATGACTGGCAACAAGTTAAACCCCATTTGTGTCCCTCCCACGGAGCACGGACGGTGCCTTGCTAAAGCCTGGGGTTTGTAGTTTTGCCTCGACAATAATTTGACCAAGAAAGAGAAGCGGCTGCACACTTTCCGCGCACTGACAATGTGGAGAGGAAAAACGGTGAAAGAAAGAGTTCTCCCTGGATGCTTCTCCTTTGTGTGTTTTCTCTGCGTCTTTTAGATGGGGCGCTCGCATAGGCTTGCACACAAACACACACACTCAGAGGTTACGTTTCCTAGGGAGTTTTTAGAAAACAGTATTTATTATAATGGAGATTATAAACTCCACCTAAATAATCAAATCTTGCCGGAGCTCTGGAAACTACATCAAGTAAATAATTTCTATTTGCCTACTAGCAGAATGCTAGCACAGGATGGCATTACACTTTATTTTCACACTCATTTCAAAACGTCAATGAAAGGGTAAAGAAAAGGCTCACAAGTCATTGTAAGTTATAAATAAAACCATAGTAGTAGATCACTTTTTCCTTTTTTTTTTCTTTTTCTTTTTTTTCTTTGTTTTCTTTTTCCTTCTCTTTTTTTTTTTTTTCTTTCTTTCCTTCCAAGATTGATTTCTTGGGGTAATAGGCAAGAAGCGTGTTCTCACCGAGAGTCAGGATGGGGTCCCGCCAAGGCTTGACAGAAGGGCTCTCCCGGTGAGCCCCCGGGAGTCCCGCGACTCCTCTCGTTTTTACCTTACAGAATAGCGGAAAATAACATCCGCGTTCGACTGTGCTAAATGTACCTAAGAGGTACCTTTTCACGCAGTCGCAGGGTTTGTAAACGGTAGTTTAAGTTTATCTGTTGTGGTGGGCACGTGTTTTGTCACATGAAATTAACTTGTAAAGGCTTTGTATCATTTTTTGATTTGTGTTTGGCGACAACGCGGATCATACCTCATCACGTTGATAGTTGATACAATTGCTAAATTAAAGTCATGTTTTCGGCTTTGAAAAACAACAAAACCCCAACCCTCTAAGAGCTCAACCACCCAAGGAGAGGTGTAATAACGCGGCGCGATGTTTTCCGTGCGTGTGCTGTGTTTCCATGCACTTACGTGCCACTCTGCGACTCAGTTGTCTGTGCCAAAGATAGCCAAATCACTTCTGGGCTTCGTCCCATCAGCTGCCACCCAAAAGAAATAGTGATAATCACTCTAACCTTTTGGAGGGATGTAATTGACATTGTATTTGCCCCCGTCTTTACCTATTCTCGTGTGGTAAATATTAGCCACTGAACTGCTTGTGATTTTGTGTTTGAGCCCCAAGAAGCTCACCAAATCATCACAATAAAGCAGTCAAACCTTCTATGCAGGTCGAGGTTTTGTTGTCATTGCTTATGTTCTGTTTCTCATCTCGAAGGAGGACACCGTGTCGAGCCAAGTGTTCTCATTCAGGGGCTCCTCTGGACTTTCAGATTTTGAGTCTAAAGTTATCGGTGTGTTGGGGCTGAAATTCTGATTTTCCACATTTCAAAAAGGACGAGGATCTATTTATAAATGTTACAGAAGGTTTCGTTACTTCACGAACAACAAAACGGGAATAGAGCTGCAATTTTCAAGAAAATAGGATTTCAAAATATAGAAATAAAAAAAGTATCATAGACGATGTATATTTCAATCGAATAACAGAAAATGGCTTTAAAATTCAGAACAGTAGCGATCCATTATGTCTGTTTTATTAGTGAAAAGTACAATTACTCTAAAATAAAGAACATTGGTGAATATATAATTGGCTGTAATCATGTTAGTGTTTGAATAAAAATGACGGGGACTTTTAACACTGACAACAAAATGTTCAGAAACAACTTATTTATTCAAACAGTTTTTATTTGCATCCAAGTGTAGGAGAAACACACTTTTGCTTACTATAAATCAAGGCTTTTTCACTTTCAATAAGTGCATAACTAAAAAAAAAATTACCAATTATTTTAACATCCAAGGCTTAATAAAGTCTCCTGGGTACGACTGTAGTATTACTGATTACTCAGTACCCAAAAGACGCCATCTACAGGAAAAGGTCTTTAGGCTTAATACAAACCTAATCTCTGTTGATTAATAATAATAATAATAATAATAATAATAATATCAGAGTTAATATTCCTTTATAAGCCCGGCTCTGATTTTACCCACAACACTGATCACAATATTTCCTTTGTAATTGCTTCTTGCTATTCAGTTTGTTATAATTTGACACGATCTAGGAAGCTGGTACCACAGGCCTTTTCTCTGAGATACGACGTTTTAAAAAGCACATGGGACTCCACGAAGCAGCACTTTTTCTTTTCTAAACAGACTCTTTTCTCTCAGATTTGACTTGATAGTCCCTGAAAATGCAGAACAGCCCATAAGATCTCTTCCTCCAAACCAAATGGGTAGAGGATGCTTGCAAAAGAGCCCTGAAAACAAACTGCAACTTGACTGAAGGCGGTTTGTGCAACAATTGTGTCACGGAGTACCTAACATTTCTTTAACTTATTTCTTTTTGGATAATGTCAATAAATATCAGCGGTGCCAAGCATACCCTCATCTGTTCTCACAATACATCCTTTGCCCCATAGATTGGTACTTCAATGTCCCATTTAGGCGTGTTGTTCCTTTCTGAATCCTTGCTGGGAAACCCATCGCAGTAGAAAGAGTGCCCCTGAATACTTTGGTCATACAAACGCAGATCCGCGGAGATGGCATATGCCTTCCGTCGTGCGACTTTAACACTCTAGTTCAAGCTACAGAAAATATGAGGAAAGCCAGAGGAAAGTTTAAGGACTCCTCTTTTGCCAGCTGCCTTTTTTGTTTGTTTGTTTTTGTTTAGTTCAGACCATTGTGTTTTTTTTTTTCCCCTGTCTTTATTGCTTATTTATCTTCCTTTCTCGACGGCTGTCTATATTTCTGCCCCTGTTTTGTGTGTGTGTGCTCACAGAGGGGGTGGCCCCTGCACACTGACGATCCGACTGCGCCTTCACAGCCAGCTCCCCAAGGTCTACCAGGCGGGTTTCGCCAGTCCCTGAGGCTCGTTACAAATAAAGTAGTTCTGGCTTCTTTCGAGCCCAGGCCAGAGATCTGGATGATCTTGGAAAAATCCAGGGTGGACTAAACTGTGCGGTGATGAGTCAAAAGCAGAGGTGCGTTGACACAAAGGCTGAGGAAAACGACCCGTTGTGCACCCTCGACTTTACATGTTATTTTGGAAACCAGGGACAAAAGCCTAGAAACTATTATTATTTATGCTCCCACTGGAATCAGGCTCAAAGTTTACACATAAGTTCTCCCTCTGTCTTCTCACTTCTGGGAACTGATGGTGAACGTCCCAAGTAGAGGGACCGTGTCGTATCACTGCCTTTAGACTTGGGGAAGGCTCAGGGGCAGAGGGCTCCTTCCCTGGGAAGCCGCTCTTGCAGGAGCAGCCGGGCGCCAGAGGACCCTCCCCTCGGGAGCTGCAGCGGGCGCTCCCCTCTGAACCAGGAGGTCTGTCATTTTTCGGGTGCCTCGTATCAAACCGCAGATGTCAGCCTTCCCCTACGTGTTCGGGTTGCTAATACGGACACTTCACACAACAGAAATGCTCATCTCTGGAGCCTTTCCCAGGGCCACCCGCCAGTTTCGTGCGTTGCCTCTGTCGCAGGCGGCTCCGGGGCCCTGGGAGGGGGAGACCGGGGCACCCGACAGCCGCTGCCTGTGGGACCCTGATCACTTCGGAGCAGCCCGAGGACTCTGATGTGCCCCGGCCTCTGCAAACTGGCCGAACCACGAACTCCGCACAACCGGCGGGGACCCGCTACTGAGGTTCCCAGCTCGACGTCTCCCGTGTCTTCCGCAAATACCATTTTTGCCATGTAATTCACACCAAATAGTCCCTCAGCTCGGAGTCCCTCGCCACCCCCTCCCCCTCCCCCCCCTGTGTCGCCAATCGAGGGAGCCCTAGCAGTGGCCGCAGAAATCCTTGCCACCCCTGGGACCCTAAAGGCTCTGTCCGCTGCTCAGGGGAGTGCGAGGGGCCCTCGAGGCCTCTCACGGGCAGGGCTGTGCCGTGCCAAGCCAAGCGGTGCCTGGCCGCTTCCCGGGGCTGGCAGGGCTCAGAGCAGAGCTGCAGGAGCAAAGGGGAGCGGAGGGAAGCGGCGGCGGCTCTTGCAGCGGGTAGAAAGCCCCATGCGAACGGCGCCGGCGACATCTAGCGGCCGAAAGCAGCCAGCGCCGGCAGCGCCGGTGCCCCGAGTAGCGGCGGGAGGCGGCAGGGCC